CTTCCTGATTGGCCAGGGAACCAGCTCAATGCTGATTTCCTGTGAACCCAGCTTCCTGGCCAATCAGCATCAAGCCGGCCAAACAGCCGGCTCCTTGCTCATTGGCTGGGAAGCCGGCTTCCCGGCCAATCACAAACGAGCTCGCCAAACAACATGGAGCAATCAGGAAGCTGGGCAGTATGTCATGACTCACCACCCGGCTTCCTGATTGCCCGGGAAGCCGGCTCAATGCCAATGGAAGCCCTGGGGTCTGTGAACACCGAAAGCAAAATATCTGTACTGAAAAGCCGTTATTGGTGCATCCCTATTTATTTGTATTGCGATTGTAGTCCATCACCTGATAAGTGATGTTAGTCATGAGATTGTAGTCCATCACCTGATAAGTGATGTTAGTCATGAGATTGTAGTCCATCACCTGATAAGTGATGATAAGTGATAAGGTGATCAAGATCCTTACCCCAACCTGTCCGTCTATCTCCCACCTTGACTGCCTTTAGGCGTTCCCAAAAGACTCATCTCTTCAGGGAAGCCTATCCCACCTCAACCTAACCACTGAACCTTCACATTCTCACATAATTCATTCCCACAGCTACCAATTGTCACATGGCAATAAACAAAAATGATTCAGTACTCGTACTTGTAAGTACTCGGCACGTACCAGTACTCGTACTCGCAAAACTGGTATCTGTGCATCCCTTTATTTATATTTATAAAAACAAAATCGTACATTAAAACAGAGATGTACAAATCCCAGGAGCTCCGTGTGCTCCTTACAAATGACAGCTGTCTCCTAATTTTTTAATTTTTCTCTAGTGTAGTCTTGGAGCTCAAAAGTATCGGTACCTGTACTCGTACTTGTACCAAGTACTGTACTTGGTATCTGTGCAACCCTAGTTAGTAGTTAAGGTACCTGGATTCTTCCAGAATAAAAATAATTCCTGTGTGCAAGTTTGTGAATTGAGGGCAAAGTTCAGACATGCGCAGAGGAGATAAAGCTAAATAAGGGAATGTGTTTCTTTCACAAGTAAAGCATATGCATAATTATATCAGTTTTGGAATTTCCAAGATTCAGCCATAAGCACAGTCAGGACAGGTTCTCTTTAATGACAAATTTCACTCTTCAATAAGGGTCCTATATCAGTTGCTGTTCTGTGTTATGTTCGGCTTCTGATTACCAGTTACTGTTATTATTTAATCTTTACCACGTTGTTTATCTTCTCGGTCACACTCAGCCTTGGGAATCCAGCTCAGCGTTGGAAATAATGCAATGAAATTGTTTTCCATGAGGTCGCCCTGGTTAATGAGTTTGATCTACGGCTGACTCACGCTCCCTCCTAATCTACACTCAACATTCAGTCATGGTCAAGTGTTGCTCATGCCGTCACAATATTTACTTTGTGGCTTTTGGGGGCTTTGCGGGGACAGGCAGTATGGAGATTAATAATCTTTACACTTGCTTTGAACTTCAAAGATGAAAGGCTGATAATCAGGAATGACAGTCAGTTGTAGTAAATTCAGATAATAGACTGGAGACATATCAGATTCATAACATTATTACCAGCTGCCATAACTTTAACATCCCCAGCTGAAGGCCAGTTGCCATTATTGTTAGCATTCCTTTGTGACCACAATTCATTGAAGAGTGATACGTGTTACTTTGTTTGCTAGTGCGTGTTATTTTTTATCTTGAAAGTTAGGGAAGTCTAATTTACTTTTTTAAGTTGATCTTGTCCCCCAAGGGTCAAGGGCTTGTAGCACTTTGTCCCATCTTTCTAGGTAATGTAAAAGCGAGGCTTGCATGATTGACAATACACCTCTCCCCCCACCCCCCTCAAGGCTGTTTGACCATGCAGCTAGCAAGGAAACAAGCCCTGATTGATGCCGCTTGTCTCTGGCTCTATGTGCTTGCCAGAAACAAGCAGCACCACTTGGAATGCGGGGGGAGGGGGCATGTCAGTGAAACCCTCCCAAGCATGCACACAACACAAGGGGGGGCGGTGGCACCAGTCAACACTTAAAATGCCCACAAATCGGGCTTCGATCAGGGCAGACGCATAGAAAGTTGGTGGACAGTCAGTAAAGAAGGGCTTTTTCTAGTGGATCATTGGGAGGTCATTATACATTTAATAACTGAGAGGTATTTTGATTTTTTCATGATAATGAGAGTTCTTCTTTAACTCTTTAAAATGAATCTGTACATTGGCTATGCAAGGCAAAGTATGAGGTTCACATAATAGTGGTCACGCCCACTCACCTTCAGTTCTCTCCACCATTACCCTTCCCGCTTGCCGGAATGAAGTGAAATACCCTTCTTCTGGGGTAATATGTAACTCTCTCCCCTGTGCCCTACAATGTAGTGGTGGACAATTGCCAGGGCCAGAATTGTCACATGGGGATGGTGGGAGACTCCTTAGAACTGCGTAGGCTCCAACAAGACGGACTTTGCTTTGGACATGTAAGATTTGTTTTGTTCCAAATGTAAATTCGGACGAATATAGGCATATCCTGACATTGGGATGCATCTGAATTTGCACCCCCTGATCCGAGCAGCAGCCTGGCAGAGCAGGAAAGGTGGCGGACGATCATGCGGCCCCTCCCTCCTGGACCATACCAGGCCACATGCCCTCAACATGGGGGAGTTCTTTGCCGGGGGGGAGGCCTTGTTGA